CGTTTGACTATTATACGTGATGTACGTTTTTTTGGGGGGTGGTTAATGAAAGTGTTCCAAAACGCGACATTAATTTCTTGACCACCTAATATATTTCATACATAAAAAGTGGTATATATTATTGTTTATCTTCAGAATACCGATAACGTAACCTGTTGATTCAAAAATGTTTAACATTTGTGTTTTCTGTTGTTTTATCATAAACCTATTTCTAAATGCAATTGTTTAAACAGATTTTTGTTCTACAAAGACTTACTAATATTTTAAATAATTCTGATGCATTTTCGACATAGTATTAAGCTTCATTGAGTGGCATCATATCGTCACACAATTAATGAGCCTAGGTTAATGCCGTTAAAGTTCTTCGCAAACAAATAAAACAACTGACTAAGCCTAACATGATTTTTAGTATATTTTACAAATCAGTAACAATACTTTCTAAACAAAATGATAATAGCGACATATTTTAACTTCAAATGATAATAAAGCACATTTATTAATTTTATTTTTCTGAACATAATTCTATTGCATGTGAGATAAAATTACCATCTTCCAATATTTCAAACCTTCTGTGATAACTTGGTAGCTGTTAGATATGTATTACCCCAGTAAAGAAAATTAAAAGTTTTAGATAGTCTATTATTAAAATCAAGTCGAAGAAAATTTCTTGTATTAAGGAGATAAATTCTGGCTGTCAAACTTTGTAAGAAGAATTGTACAGGTTCATACGCTTGTGATTATATCATACTCCACTACGTTATCAAAACATAATTATGACTATTTCGAAAATTATCGATCAACATTTAAAAGTTTTAGATAGACTATTACTGAAACCAAGTCAAAGAAAATTCCTTGTATTAAGGAGATAACTTCTGGTTGTTAAGTCTTTGTAAGGAGAATTATACAGGTTCATACGCCTTTGACTACATCATACTTCACTATATTATCAAAACACAATTATGACTTTTTTTAAATTATTCATCAACATCGAAGTAAGATATTTTTGTATTCTTTAAGGTAAAGAATAATGATTAAAGGTTCATAGTATTTTTTATGATTAAAACACGGCACTTGAAATTACTTTAGGCAAGATTAGAGTAAATTAATCATCGTGTATACCCGATTCGATTTTATTACTCATCAGGATCTTTACCAGCCTACCCTCAAATTGAATTTCTTTTAGGCAGGATTATAGTGTCATGATATAAAAGACTGTTAAGTGTAGGTATTATTAAGTTGTTTATTTTTGTGAGTGAATATTTCATGATTGTTTAGGTTTTTCATAACAAGGGAATGAAAAGCAATTATTTTAAAATATGACAAATGTAGTTAGGTAACTCGGTAAGAATTATTGTTGTGTATATAATTCATTGATGTTGAGACTATCGAACGTCGCGTGCAATTTATTGATGTCGAGGATATAGAGATTTCTAGAAGGCGAGCAGACGATTAAGTGATAAATGTATAAATACTGTGAGACTAGCGGGAACAGCAGACAGACAGAGCAGACGAGAAATCAGAGAGTGGGAAAAGAGCCAAAAATAAAGTAGAGTAAAAGATAGTTTTGGTCAGAGAAAGGTTAGAAAACGTAAAGTTAACCGTCGTAGGAGTGAATAGCCTAATGGTTGATATTCTAAAATGATATTAACAGTTTTCTGACATTTTAGGAGAATAATTTGTCTTGTCAAAGGGTGTTCTAAAGCAATTGAATCTGCCTGTGTGCATTTTGACAAAAAGCAGACGATTATTTGGAAGTAGGCCTATATGCGAAAAGCAGACATTTATTGGAAGTAGGCCTAAATACGAAAAAACAGACGAGTATCGGAAGCTCAGGATAAAACACAACGATGCAGCGTAAATGAATTATACACCAAAATTGTTGTGATAAGTAGAAAAAGAAAAGAGAGAGAACGAAAAGGAATAAGTGAATTATACACTGATAATGTTGAGGATAAAAAAAAACAGAATTTCGATTATAAGAAATAATATATATATATATATATAACAAAAATATTGATATTCTTTGAATTAATATCAAATGTATCAGATATTACATTTTACATAGTTTATATCACAAATGTTTCACTTCAACACAGAAGTATGTCTTACTGCATATTATTTAGATTTACCCCGCATGGCCAGGTGGTTAAGGCAGTCGACTCGCAATCTGTTGGGCGCGGGTTCGAATCTCCGTCCTACCAAACATACTCGCCCTTTTTAGCTGTGAGAGCATATAATGTGACGGTCAATCCCACTATTCGTTGGTAAAAGAGTAACATTGCTGCTTTTAAGTCCTTCTAACGATCAACGCTGCTTTGTGATAAATATTCTGATGACTTCTTTTGGTCAACATCACACACAAAAAAAAAGAAAGACTACGTTCTATTGAATAGAGAAGATTAAATCTAGAAATGTATTTATTTACCAGGAAGTTCTTTTGATTCCTGTGACATTAAGTTCGAGGCTTTGAGGACGACCACAGTTAGTCGACCAGCAGAGGGTAGGTAGCTGAGCGATAATAAGATTTCTGGTCTGTCACGAGACACCTTCATAAAGAAAAACAATCAATCAACGTTTTGGAAACCTAAGTACTTCAGTTTTAAGAACAAGTACGAAAAAACAACAACAAAAAAAAGAAACTAGATACGAAAATATATCAAATACATTTTAGAATAAACAATAAAAATTACAATACGAGAATAAAAGTATTTTGTACCCACTTCTGGTTAAGTTCTTTTTTTTTGCACAAGAAGAGCCCGCTTTATGCGCGAAATTTTAGCCTTAGAAGTTGGATGTTGTCTGTTATACCTTATATTCGTTGTTTATATGCTGTTAGCTACAGGACTAGACAAGCGGCGAATTCTAGATTCCACTTGGATTTTCTCATAACAGGGTCATAAAAAATAATACCAATTTTAACACAGAGTATGCCTTTAATCGGGCCAACTGTGAATCCCAAGTTATTGGTTGTGAAACCGAATCCAAATAATAAATAATACCAATTTTAACCCAGATTGTGCCTTTAATCGGGCCAACTGTGAATCCCAAGTTATTGGTGGTGAAACCGAATCCAAATGATAAATAATATCAATTTTAACATAGAATGTGCCTTTAATGAGGCCAACTGTGAATCTCAAGTTATTGGTTGTGAAACCGAATCCAAAATTTTAAGGGTGAAAAAAAAAAAGTTGCTCCTCATCTAACAACTTAAATTATAATTGAAGTAAATTAGTTTACTAGTCGACTATTTCTGAATGCGCGCACTCGCACACACATAACTTGAAATATTTCTGATTCTCTTTCCAATCTACAGCCATCTATTATAATATTTATTTTGATTCAAGCAACTAATGTTGTATGAAGGGGAATATATCGGCCCTCTTTTCTTATCATGCCTTTCTTTTATTATCCCGTGAAGAACAAAACATTTTATAATTTTAATAAATAACGTAAACCCTTCTCACTAGATAGCAATATGACTATACATCTGTTGTAGAAACAGTTAACACAATGGTGAAAACACAGAAGAAAAATGTAGGAATAACAAATAGGAATTCGAAATACAAAATGCAACATTTGTTACATTTAGTTAGTAAAGTATTTGTATAAGTCACCCTAGTGGCTTACCGGTTAGTCTGAGGGCTAAAATGGCTAAAATCGAGTTTCGATACCCATAGTGGGCACAACACAGGTATCCCATTGTGTAGCTTTACGCTTAACTACAAACCGAAAGTGATCTAAAAATGGTTGTTTTTATTTCTAAATTTATACGAAAAAACAAATACTTGCAATGTGTTTGTAAAAAGTATTCGTATTTCAAGTTATATTTCAACTTGATACGGTCTTTAAGTTTTATTCACAAAGCATGTTCTAAAAGTGCAAATCATCTGCCATTTGAGACATCCACTACACAGATCAAAATATGAATATCTGTTACTTGCACTTTAGATGTGCAGTTTTCTAAAAGCTGTAAGTATTAAAATATTTGAAAATATGTTATTTCCAATGTCCAGAGCATTTTTAAAACTATCCCGAGGAAACTGCTTTTAAAAATATAGATATATAATATTTTTTAAAAACATGTTTGTTCTTATTATAATGTTTTATCGCATATTTCCAAATTTGAATTATTGAATAAAGTTGGTTTTGTTCATTAAAATATCCCGTTTATGTTAAACAATGAATTATTTTATATGCAGACGCTTTGATCTTTACCTTATTGGTTTTGGATATTTCGCTCCAAACCTCTGTTTCCGTGGTCACATCAACATCACACATATTCACTCGAACTTCTCCAGTAATGTCATTTCTGGAGAATCTGTCATAATCGAAAACCTGAAGAAGCAGGATCTTCTCCGGAAGGTCGTCAAACGAAACCGGAAACTTGAAAACTTCGTCAAACACGGGATCTGATGAGTTGCGCTGGATTTCTGTTTGCCTCGGTTTCGTATCGACTTCTGGTACCAAGGTAACTTTGACATAAGGGTCATTAAAACCATTCTCTGATATTGTCCCTAAGTCTAGAGCTAAAAACAAATTCAGCTAATTAAGTTAATAGCTTTCCAACCACAAATAACTTCAATTAGATTTCTTGTCAAAAAATGTTTATAGATGTTTTCATTAAGTATCGGACAAAAGAAAAAAAAACATTTTTAATAAAAATAAAAAGCTAGTTTGTAACAAAGGTGAAAAGAAATAAAAAATACGCACATGTAATAAATACTGTTAGTTACTTTGTGTGTGTTAGGTGTATTTTTTCGGAAATACAAAAATTCTGTTAACTTATGTTTAAACAGATTGCTATAAAACAAAAGATTTAAGTCTAAATAACTCCAATAAGATTTAAGATTGGGTTTAAGATTTAATTTACTTTCAAACATAAATCTGGAAACGCTTAATTGCAGTTAAACGGTTTGTTGAAAATGAACGAGCCTTTTGGCTTTACCTATTATGAACAAATAATGGCCCGGCATGGCCTAGCGGTTAGCAAAAACGCGCTTCGCACTTTCAGGTTGTAGGTGCGTTTTAAGAGTGAGGGGTCAAATTCCACTATTCGATTTGAGCAGCGCAAGAGTTGGCGGTGGTTACTGTTAACTAGTTGCCTTCCTTCTAGTCTACCAGTTGGAATTAGAGAAGTCTAGAGGAAATAGTCCTTATCTAACTTAGTGCGAAATACAACAAACAACACATATATATGTTGTTTTTCACAAACACTGGTATTAATGTCTCACCCTTTTACAAAATCTTTTTAATTGATTACCCGTTGTTTCTAAACTGGTTTCTCCCCTGTGTTTCGTTCAACAACTGGAAATACCGGGTATCTCAAGCGTGTTTTTTGTATTATAAAAATTATATATATATATTTGTTTTTCCATGTAATACAACTTGTATAAATCTTAATTAATGCGCAAATTTGTTAAAAAAATCCTCCTTACTGTTTTGTAATGCTGATTATTATCTCCCTACGTACAGATGTTGTAGTTCTATTTAATTGTTTGATATATATACACATAGAATTAAGCTTCAGAGCCGTAATAAGATCCATTTAAAGAACCAAATCGCAGGAATAATTTTAACAGCAACTACCGATTATCAGATCTCGAGTTACTTGGTATAAACCATAAGAAGAAAGGCTTTCTTTATTCATTTGTCATTGATACAGTGTAACTTAGAAATTTGAATACATTTCTTGTTAAATTTTATTCAGATAAAAACGTGAGATGGTTAACTAATTGGAATCTTCCTATGCATCCGAGGCTTACATCCCGCTACTGCAAACAACAACAACAAAACTCTTCGCACTTTGGGGACATGAGTGCATTATAAGAATAACAGTCAAATCCCACTGCTGGATTACAGTAGTTCAGGAGTGGGTGGTGGGAGCTGTTGCCTAGCTGCCTTCCCTCTATTCTATAGTTTAAAATTAGGGAGTGCTAGTGCAGATAACCCAGATTAGTAGTTTTGTACGAAATCTAACAAGCATGAAAATACATGTCAAAGATTCTGAGCTGTTCCCATGGTAACTACTGGTTTTTCTGTGAGAGTGGGTGTTCATGCGTCATATATCATGAGCCATAAACAACCTTTTACATTTGTTCCAAGAGCTTGTAAAATAATAATAATAAAACTAAAAAACGTGGAATAATTTCCCTGAATTAGTACTTTAGCAATAAGGTAAGTTACAGTATTTTAAATGTGAAACAATGAACAATTATATTCACTGAACAACTATAAAAGATATACAAAAAAATGTTATTGTAAAGATATGTGCCAAGAGGTGGCGCCAAATGCCTCATGGTTGCAAAAATCAGTCTGATAGAATATATACATTAGGAGTTTTCGAACACACCTTCAATAACATGGACAACAAAGTCCGATCGATCAAAGTCGTACTTCAGTCGGAAATGTAACCTTCCGTATTTAGCCTTGTCCTGGCTGTCCGAAGACTGTAAAAACACCATATCTTTCTTTTTGTAAAGGTCAGGTTGTATGGCCCCTGGCAAAAGAATAAAATATAATAGTCAGGTAACTTAATACATAAACACCCTAGTGGATTAATTAAGACCGAAACGGCGATGTATTTAATCAAAGCATCAAGCTGTTACGGCTTTACTGGGGAAGTTAAGGAGATTCTAGACTAGTCCATTATTTAAATAATATGTCAAGGCCTTGGAAAACACAAGTGAAGAATATTCTTAGTTTTAAAACAGCTATTTCATTTATAATACAAACAATATTTGTAAGAAACAAATCTGTTAAAAATTAC